AAGAGCGCTGCCCGTGGGGGCTCCGGGCAGCCGGGAGGGCCCTGCGTACACAGACGTCAACACTCTCAGTGACTCCTGAGTGGGCTTTACGGGTTTCACTGGACAGAAAGTACCTCTTTTGGTCCCGGCACGGAGCAGGTGCTCGTAAACGAGAGCAAACACGAATTTAGCAACCTGCTTTGCTCTAGCTACTGTCCCAGGTGTTTTACATCATATGACCTCATTCTATTTTCACAACCCCCTTTATCAGGCAGATACTATTATCCTCTCCATTCTACAGATGAGCAAACCGAGGCCCAGGAGGTTAGTAAGTCGCCTACGACCATAGACTGGTAAGAGAGGAAGAAGTCAAATGCTAGCTTCTGTTATCTTCTCCTGTCTTTTTTAATTAAAAAATTTAACTTTTGGGGCTTCCCTGGTGGCACGGTGGTTGAGAGTCCGCCTGCCGATGCAGGGGACTCGGGTTCGTGCCCCGGTCTGGGAGGATCCCACATGCCGCGGAGCGGCTGGGCCCGTGAGCCACGGCTGCTGAGCCTGTGCTTCTGGAGCCTGTGCTCCACAACGGGAGAGGCCACAGCAGTGAGAGGCCCGCGTACCACAGGGAAAGAAAAGAAAAAAAAATTAACTTTTTTTTGTTAATAAACTTTTTTTAATTTTTGGCTGTGTCGGGTCTTCGTTGCTGCATGCGGGCTTTCTCTAGTTGCAGTGAGCGGGGGCTACTCTTCATTGAGGTGCGCGGGCTTCTTATTGTGGTGGCTTCTCTTGTTGCGGAGCATGGGCTCTAGGCGCACGGGTTTCAGTAGTTGTGGCACGCGGACTCACTAGTTGTGGCTCGCAGGCTCTAGAGCACAGGCTCAGTAGTTGTGGCGCGGGCTTAGTTGCTCCGCGGCATGTGGGATCTTTCCGGACCAGGGCTTGAACCTGTGTCCCCTGCACTGGCAGGTGGATTTTTAACCACTGTGCCACCAGGGAAGTCCCAAATTTAACTTTTTAAATTAAAGTATAATTAACACATAACAGTTTCAAATGTACAATAATGACTCCATATTTGTATATCTTGGGAAATGATCACCCACAATAAGTCTAGTTAACATCTGTCACCTCACATAGTTACAATTTTTTTTCTTGTGCTGAGAACTTTTAAGATCTACTGTCTTAGCAACGTTCAAATATGCAACATGGTGTTATTAATTATCATCACCACACTGTCCGTTCTATCCCCAGGACTCATATTCTAACTGGAAGTTTGTACCTTTGATGACTTTCTATTTTCCCCTTTCTTTACTCTCATTATAAGGACTGTAAAAATAAAAGAATGACGGAAAGGAAATCCACATTCACTGAATGCTTCCCATGAGCTAAATCCTTTCAAACTGTATCTCATTTTATCCACAACATGAATCTGAGAAGGATGCACGATTGTTCTCACTTGTGCAGGAGGAGCACAGAGGGTTCAGCTGGCCTTCTGAGGTCTGCTTAATTGGGGAGCAGGACAGCCCCCCACCATGCTGAGGCCAGGCTACCACTCTTGCATCTCAGGAGGAGGTGCTGGCCGGGGACCCAAGGGTTAAGCAGCTCAGGCTGGCAGAGCTGAATCACGATTAACGAGATTTCACTCAACTATTACCTGATCCCAACTGCGGGTGTGCTGACCCTCCACCCACTGCTCAGACTGCTTCGTGTATCTTTTCCTTGTCCTTGACTTTGACATTGACCCCATCATTCAGCCGGGACTCAAGTTCTTCACTGGCTTTTTGAAATGGCTTCTGGATCAGCGTCTGACAAGTCTGACATTACAGGGCCCGAGGCACTGAATTCCTTCAGAGAACCCAGTCCCCAAACCCTGTCCCCAAGTGGGCCCGGATGACCCAAGCGTGGCTAGTGTTCTCTGCTGGCCTTTACCTTGAGTTTTCTCCAGATTTGTACCTATTCTCTCCTTTTTTGCTCCTTCAGAAAAGGATCCCAACTCACTTCTAAGGCATGTCCCAAGCTTTTTTTTTTTTTTTGCTTCCATCTTAAAATTCCCTCTGCACTGTTTTCTCCTCTTGTTCACTTACACATATGCATAAATTGTCACTAGGTTTGATAAACTACTGTCCTTCTCCTTTTCCCATCAAGCTACCCTCTCTTTCCTTCACACTAATTGAATTCTTAAAGGAGAACCGTGACCTTCTATTCACTCCTCACCTGAATTTAGGTACCTAATTGCCCCACCACTGCCCTCTTTCTTCTCACTCCCCCCACTTCCCCAAGGGCACCCGAGGCTGTTGACTTACCACCTGATGCTCCTTCTCTGGCCTCTGGCCTGGGCTCCAAGGCTCTCCTGGATCCTCCCCCTTTACACATACCTGCTCAAATGCAGGTGCTTCCTGCAAATCCATGCTCCTAACCCTCCTCCATTGATACCCCTTCCTAATGATCGCCTGCAATCTTAGGATTTCAACTATCACCTCTGGGTGTTTGTCTTCCACATGGTGGTCTGGCCTGACGTTTCTCTGGAGATCAGACCTTGATCTCCAGCTGCCAGGTGGATGTCCTGCCTCAGGTACGATGCCCCTCTGGGCACACAGGCCCCGTTCCCCTGTTACCTGTGTGTCTCACGCACTGCTTTCTCCCAGCTGCCCAGGCTCCACGTTCGAGATTCAATTTCAGCTCCTCTCAAGCATTTATCGAACAATGTAAATTCTGTGTCTGGAATTTCTCCAACCCTGAACCCTCTTTCCACTGTCCCAGTTGAGACTTTCAATATGTTCTCTCTCAACTATGCGATCGTTTCTTAACAGATCTCTTTGAATTCTGTCTTTGGCCCTCAAATCTATGGTTGAATAAATGCTAACAGTGAATCTGCTAAAATGCATATCAGATCATGTTTCCTCAAAACTTTCTGGGACACCCATTGCAAATTAAATAAAATTGCAGCTCTGTCACCTGTGGTGACAAATCCCCCTCATCTGGGCCCAGCCTCCTTCTCTGCCACCAGTGGCTGGGGCCCCTGCTCCTGACCACCTGCCCTGCGTGTTTGCTATCCTCCAAAAGGAGGTCGCAGCCCCCCGGCAGGCCAGTTCTGCGGCATTGTTCCTATTTCTGGGAATCACTCCTGGACACCTCACCCAAAAGCAGCCTTCCCAGCTATTTTCTGATTAGACAGATCTTTCTATGCCTAAAATAGCTGATTGTTTCACTGACAGAACCACGACTGACATAAGCGTTCATGAGCAATTTGCGGATGAGCTTGTGCTGAAGGTAAAAAAATACGTTTTAGGACAAGTTGAGTGAAAATTATTCAGCAGCATCAATATTTCAAGTTGCCTCGAATCCATCTGAATTTCAGAATCAAGAGTAGAAATAATTGGAAAAACCCTGCCGAACCTAAAACACAACTCAGATCCCCAAGTATGAATGTCACGGGGTCACAGATTTCCTCCACAGATTTTTACTAGGATGTGCAGATATAATGAGACCTTAAAATTTTCCTACAAGGCGTCTACTCTTCCCCACGAGCCTGATCTCAGAGGGATTTTGGGAGGGACGGTGAGGAGAAGGGGCATGGAATTCAGTCTCTGCCCATTTGTGGAATTTCGGTCTAAGGAACATGGTTTTATTCTGGGGGCAGCTCAGTCTTCCTGATTCCTGCCCTCTCCATAATATGTGGGTGCACAAGGCTGTGTGGATGAGCTGTCCCTGGGCCCTCCACCTCTTACTGAGTCCCCATGTGAAGTGGCTGGTCTGGCCTGGTCCCTGAACTGGGAACTGCTAAGGACGGTAGATCCTGTCTAGGGCTGGGGCCCCGTGCTGTCACCCACTGTTCGAGCCTGTGCCTCTGTTCCTTGCCTCTGACCGCAGATCCACCTCTACTGTGGCTTCTTTGTTCTTCCTTGAGCTTCTACTGGTTCTCTGGTCTTAGATCACTCACGGCCCCGCCCCAGGGTGTGAAGACTTCCTGATCCCTGGCCCAAGAATCTGCCTGTGACCCATGCTGCCATGTGGACATGGGCCCTCCCTGGTCTTCCAGATGGAGTAGGAGGCAAATCCTCCCCTGCTTCCAGCTTTCCTCTGAACACAGCTAATCTGTGTCCGTGCTGAGGTTTCTACCTGGAGATGGGACACAGGTACTGTTCTCTTGGTTCTTGGTCTACACGGGTGGGGGTGATGTTTTCACTGCTGCCTCTTCTCAGTTAGGGAACCCCTCTGTGTCATAATCTCCCTTCCCAGTGTCCAAACCGGACATCTGACCAGCACGCAGGACTTTGCAGAAGAGGGTAACATGGTTAAGAGGATGTTGAGAGGATGTTGATGGTTACGGTGGGTGAGTCATAAAGAGAAAGCAGGAGCTGGGGATCCTAGAGGGAGAGGGCAGGAGAGGTGATCTCAAGTTACCCACCCTGGCCAGGGCATCCGGCAAGCAGCCCAGCCCAGCCCAGTGTTCCGAGTATGGGCTCGGAACCTGCCCCCCCATGAGCTCTGAGACCTTGAGCGGGTCACATAACTTCTCTAAGACTCAGTTTTCTCACTTGTAAAGTGGGGATCATAATGGGACTTACCTCAGTGGTGTGTTGTGTCGTAGGAAATAATGGCTGTGAATTCATTTCAGGCACTGGGCACAGCCTCACGCACGGAGCAGCCCCCAAACCCAGGCTGTCATGAAACTGTCAAGGAGGACCCTTGTGAGAACAAAGAGGGCAAACCGGCTGTGAGCACCACCCGGATACAAGTGGTTACTCCTTGTATGACGTTCAGTTGGAAAAGGTTGCAGGGGATGCCCTCGCTGGCACTGTGAGGCATCTGTGAAGTAGGGGTGGGTTGCGACAAGGACCGGAAATGGAAAGTGATGAAGCTGGAGCCCCGGAAGAACCGGAAATGAGGCCAGTCAATCAGGCAGACATGAATGAAGGTGAGGCTACAGGTAAGGGGGAGGGAAGGGGGACCTATGCGCTAAGGGGGTTGGCTGCAGTGTCGCACTAAGCAGACAAAGTTGTAGTTAAACAAAAAACCTCCATGAAGATTACATGTAATCGCATGCTGCTTGGCCTTCTGCTGAATGTGATTATGCAAATGAATACATCTGTTATAAGACTACATTCACGAGCTCTGAGAATGACACCCGTCTTCCTTGGAGTAGATGATCAGAATTATTTTGTTTCTTCTTTGGCATTTTTATTTTTTTACCCTTTTCTTCAGAAAGTCCATCATTACAGGTTCTATCCAGCCATGTGACACTCCTGGTCCCAGCACACACCCGGGAGGCCTTTGTCCATGAGGTCGGCAACGTTCAACACACACCTGCGGAGCGGTCTGAAGTCCTACAGGCCATGGACACACTCCCACCTGAGCAGGGCAGTGACACCCTCAGCTCCCCAGCCCAAACTATCCCCCCCAAGCAGGCTGACATCCCCAATTCCCCAACCCAAACCATTCCGCCCGATCAGGCTGACACCCTCAATTTCCCAGAAGAAACCATCCCACCAAAAGAGGGTGACATTCTCAATTTCCCAGCCAAAATCATTCCACCCAAGCAGGCTGACACCCCCAACTCCCCAGCCGAAATCATTTCACCAAAGCAGGGTGACACCCCCAGTTCCCCACTCAAAACCATCCTGTGCAAGCAGGCTGACATCCCCAATTCCTCAGAAAAAAATACCTCACCCAAGCAGGGCAATACCCCCAATTTTCCAGCAAAATTCATTTTGCCTGGGCAGGGCCACACCCACAAGCTCTCAGCCATTCTATCCAAGCTGTGTGACACCCTAAAGTTCTCAGCCAAAACCATTCTGCCCAAGGAGGGTGATGCCCCCAAGTCCTCAGCCGAAACCGTTCTGCCCAAGGAGGGTGACACCCCCAAGTCCTTAGAAGACACCATCCAGCCAATAGAAGACAACCTGCAGTCAGCAGATGAAGCCATGGAGGTCCTGGAGGAGGACCTGGTGAAGGTGATCCTGAGCAAGGAAGACTTTGAGGTGGCGCTGAAGGAAGCTGGGGAGAGACTGGTGGCTGTGGACTTCTCGGCCATGTGGTGCAGGCCTTGCAGGTCAATCAAGCCCCTTTTCCGGTCCCTGTCCATGAAGCACAAGGATGTGGTGTTCCTGGAAGTGGACGCTGATGAGTGTGAGGGGCTGGCGAAAGACTGCAATATCGTTTGCGTCCCAACCTTTCAGTTTTATAAAAAAGAAGAAAAGGTGGGCGAATTTTCTGGTGCCCTTAAGGAAAAACTCGAGACATTCATTACAGCATTAAAGTGATTGTGTGTTCCAAAAGCATTAGGAACAGTCGGCTGTTCATAGCTTGTGATTTTTTATTTACAAAAAAAGATGAGGGGTAACAAAAGTGTGTGTCCAAGTGGCACCTGCATGTGCATCAGAAACAGTAGCTCAACCCTTTCCAAAAAGCAGTCAAAGCCCTAACGCCTATTGTGACTGTGTTCTTGTTGATGGGACAGTGTTGATATTAGAATTTCCTTTGGTGGAGATATTGGAAGTCCAGTTGTCCCCTATTTTTTAATCTTGATTTTTTTTTTTCACTCACTCTTGAAAATTCAGCTCGTGTAATCCTAGTGGCAACGCTGGAAATTTAGACAGTTTTTCTGTAGAAGGACATGTTTTAATGATGAGTGGAAATTTCTGATGTTCACATACCTTTGGGATATCCGATAAGAAAGTAAAGAATTTGAAGGATTCACATATGTCTAACCTCCTTCATGTGCGGGAAGTGCTATGGAGGCCTCAGGAAATGTCACGGGCTCCACAAACATCTAGGGGATTCTTTGGTATCAGAGCTGAGACCAAGGCCATGTTTCCAGATTTCAAGTTCAGGCTTCTTTCTACTGATCCAGGCTCACAAAATCTGAGACAGCTCAAAGCTTCTGGTTTTCTCAGACCAAGAGATTTATGGTTCAAGTTTAAATTAGTGTGATCCTTGGTGCCATTATGACATCAGCAACCTAGTAGCAGAGTTCCTGCTTTGTCATCCCGGTAACTGGGTTTCTGATACCTGTTCTCAGATGTCTCAGAGTGTGTGTGTGTATACACATATATATTGCGCATATATGCATATATTTAATATATACAATTTGGTGAGTTTGGACATATGCATACACACGTGATACCATCACCACCATTGAGGTAATAAACCTACCCATCATCTGTTTCCACAACTTTCCCTGTGTGTCCCTTTCCTTGGTGTGTGTGTGTTAAGAACACTTTGCATGAGATCTACCCTCTTACCACATTTTAAGTGTACTATAGCGTATTAACTACATACACTGTGCTGTCCAGCGAATCTCTAGAACGTATTCATCCTGGATAACTAATTTTATACCCACTGAACGACAACTCTGCATTTCCCCCCATTCCCTGTCAGCCACTGTCTTATCTTCTGCTGATCTAGAATGTTTTAAAGAATTTGAGGGCTTCCCTGGTGGCGCAGTGGTTGAGAGTCTGCCTGCCGATGCAGGGGACACGGGTTTGTGCCCCGGTCTGGGAGGATCCCGCATGCCGCGGAGCGGCTGGGCCCGTGAGCCATGGCCACTGAGCCTGCGCGTCCGGAGCCTGTGCTCCGCAACGGGAGAGGCCACAACAGTGAGAGGCCCGTGTACCGCAAAAACAAAACAAAACAAAAGAAAACAAACAAAAAACTGATTCCAGTTGGGCAGCGCCAAACCGTTAATGGTTGGGGGGCTCAGCCGACAAGAGCTGGGGAAAGACTGACACGGAGAAGGTGGGAAAGAAAAGCAAGGAAACGGTTGGACTGCTGCAGCCTGAAGCCTGGTTGGCTGTGATCCTCAGGTTTCAATTTCTTACCCTTGAGGCATCTCAGGCTTTGGTTTTGGTTGGCTTGCAGAGGCCACCGAAGCCCTGGAGCCACTTCTGTCTAATGGGCTCCTTGTTTAGTTGCTTTAACAAGAGCTACAGGCCAGAGTCCTCCTGGAGCAGGCTGTGGGGTCTGGGTTACATGCCTTCTAAGGGTCTGGCTAGACGGAGGGCCTTCCTTCCCCCAGTCAATGCTTATAAGGCGTATGGGGACCAGGAAAGCAGGACTCTGCTCTTCCAAATTCACTCAGAAATGAAAAATGGAAACAAGAGAATAAAAAGGTCCAAATACGAAGAACAGGATGATCCCTATTTTATTTGAAAATGGAATAAAAAGCATCAAGTGTTGTCATTGGCTCTCTCTGTATGCATATTTTTTCTTTCATTCTATTTTTTTCCGCTTACTTATAATAGAAGAAAAACAAACAATTAATAGAGTACTTTGGAGACCCCAGTTGCTTAGAAACTGCTGGGAAATACAAAATTTGGAAGGACAAAGCAAAGGGGAGTGAGCACGCTGGCCCAAGGTCACGGATGCTCTGGTTCTGCGTTCCAGTTGTGCACTCTGGGCCTTCCCAGCTTTCCAGGACAGATGGTCATAGAGACTAAATCAGTAGCAGTTCTTCTTTTGGAGATGAACTGCCTTGGTGATCTTGGGTGTCGTGGGGGTAGGTGATATATTCGCTTTTTGGTGGCAAGTGACGGAAACCCAACTCAAACCTGCTCCAGCAAAAATGGAGGGAGTACTGGATCTTGAAAGTGGAGATTCTAGGGGGACAAACCGCTTCAGGTGGGTGTGAGTGTTCAAACAACAGCATCAGGACCTGATGTTCTCCACCTCTTGGCTCTGCTGCTCGTGTTGGTTTTAGCATCACTTGCTTCGCTGGCTTGTGAACACAGATAAAAAGTGAGCCTGTTTCCTAATAAATCAAAGTCCCTGGGAAGACTTTGACTGTCTAGTCATATGCCAATCCCTGTACCATCCTGAGTACTTGGGGGAGACCTTGCAGGCCTGGGTCAGTGCCATGAAAGCATCAAAGCTAAGCAGGACCACGGGGGGCAGGGGGAGGAGGGAAGAGGTGCTGGGCAGACTCATGTGTCTGCTGCAGGGGATGGCGATGACGTAGGACACACTGCCTTGGACCAAGGGCTACACCAAGAATGTGGTCAGCGTCAATCAATTCCCAACCTGATAAGAAGATGCTGTGCACTTACCCAGTGCCTTTCAAACACCCCTTCTCATTTCATTGTAATCCAGTCTGATTTCCTTAAGTCTGTATCTATAGGACTTAGAAATCAATACATTCTATGCCTTATTCAAATGACAAGTTATCTTATGGTAACGCTTGAGTTTCGCCAAAGGTGGCATACGGAATATGAATCCAAAGACAGCATGAAACACTTAGCAACTAGATACTCAGAAAGATGCAAAGGATATGAACAAGGGAAGACAGTTTTGGGGTCTAAGTGATGCTTTAGAAATTTATTTTTCTGTATGAGCAATTTGATTTCATAGTGGGGATCTATACAGACTGTTCCTTGGACTCTCAACACGTTTGTCTTTTTGAGGCAGAAATGTTCAAATAAATTATACTTAGCAAATATGGAAAAGATGTGGTATATTGTTGCTTAGAGAATTCCATTGTGATCTGGGGCAGGCTTTTAAGATCTTGCAAGGGAACTGTGAAATGGTACATTCTATGGAGATAGAAGTTAACTAAAAAACAAAACAAACCAAAAAGTACAAGGAGAAGATGGCTGCAAATTCTGAAATAATAGTGACTCTTTAATCAGGAGATCCTTCAACACCCATGGTAAAAAGTGTCCACCAGGGCAGCAATGACACACACTGGGATCAGCATAGCAGGGATCCAGGTAAAGCCTCACAGTTTAGGAAAATCAGGAGTTTTTCAAATTCTAGAATGGAAAAAAATGATTGACGTGAATATGAAGAAATGGAAAGCGGTACACATGAAGTTAAGGTTGGTAAAAAGGCAGTGATTGAAACGGAAGAAGGTGAATTGTGAAAACTGAAAGAAAATGTGATCATTCAGTCGCCTATGGATAGGAAGTGTAGTGCTTTTATGCTCACATGTTGAGTCATCTGCTTTTAGGTTAAGATGGCGACTTCAAGCAAGAGTGAGACCTGGCGTGGGAAGCTCGGAGAGGAGCAGGGTCGTTCTGGCATCGAAGGTGTCTGTGGGCTTGATTGCTGCTTTCACTAAGCACCCCGGGGGGTCTCCGGCCTTCGGAGACCACTTACTGGTGGGGCTTGAGGAGGGTGGACAGAAGGGCTGCTTCTCTCTCCGTGCCCCATGGTCTTTGAAAGGCAAAGCTAAATGCAGGTCTAATGACTCATAGATCAATATCTTTCAGGGACATTAGGACAACTTGGAGGAAGTCACCAGTCAGCTAATGATTCTCAGTGCAGAAATGTCAGAAGAGGCTAGCCGCCTCACGGCTTTAAAGAAGATTTCCTTTAAATCATGCCAGTTAACAAGGGCCAGCCTATAATGTGTTGTCATGCTCTCACGGACAAACAAATGACTGGAACTGGAGCAGCCTCTCAGTGAAACGATTCAACATTAGTGGATTTGAGTGAGCTCCTCCCCGTGTCCATCCCCTTAAATAATTTGATCTCTCCCTCTGAGGGCGAAATCACTCGTATGATAAAGATGATTACTTTCAAATAATCTCTGCTTTTGCATCTGAGGTTTTTAAAAAAGCATTTACAAAGCCAAATTATAATCCCACTTTATTTTGGATTGCTACATTCCTGTATGTATATAAAAATGCTAAAATAAAATGGGTAGATGTATATGTTGCAGACCAGCAGCCGTTGTGTCTCCTCTTCAAGCCCCATCCATGGTACCGATTCTTTCCTTGTAAAAAGAAAGGGGCCAAGATTTATTATGTGTGGTTCAGACACTAAACATGTTTATAGTTGATATTCAGGTCGAAGGCAGAAAGATGGGTGCATACGTCAGAAATGAGCTCTATCCAGAACTGACAGAGAAACTGTTTCGAATGAGGTGAATATTTGGCAACCACAGGCCGTCCTCTGGGAAAACTCTTTACAGGTACATGGGGTACCAAAAACTCCTCTGTTTCTAATTAAAATTAATAAATTGATTTCTAATTCTCAGGATTCTTCTCTACCTCATTGACTTGCTTAAATGTGAGATCTTGATAACCCTTGTTTATTCTCTTGGATGGAGATTCGATGCCTTTCCAACAATTCAAGTGAAACACAACCAAACGTCCCCTCTCCAGGAGGGAAGAGTTGAGCTGACCAGCAGGGGCATGGAGAGTTCCTGAAGGTCAAGGGCAAGCAGAGGTCTCTCATCTCAGGCAGCAGAGGATGCCAACAAGCTGAAGATGAAGCAGTGAAGATGAGACCCAAGAAACCGGGAGGGGACTGCAGAAGTTTCTGAAGCCATAAGGGTGATCTGTGGGTAAAAAAGTCAGAACCTGGTTACCGGACATGGGAACAAGATGCGCTCAGGGAAGATGACGGGGCAAGGGGTGGGAAGTGGAGGAGGTTGTCACCTGGGACAACCAGGGATGAGTGGGGCACAGGTATGGTGCAGAGGTGGGTCACCCTGGGTTCAAGGGCCGTAGTCAGGGTGGACAAGATCTTGGCATTTGAGTGCGGCCCCAGCGATTGCACTTACACTTATGATTTCTTAAGTAGGTCATGGGGCTACACCAGAAATCTGAAACTGTATTGCTTATGAAAATTTGAGAAACTGGATGGCTGTAACTAGATTATGTTTACCAATCTCACTCTAAATTAAGTAATAGGATGGGTGGCCAAAAAGTCCATCTGAAATACAAGATGTTTAATCCTGTAATGGGGTTTGCTGTCTTTGCTGTCCCTTGATTAAAGACAAAGCATAGTTTACATATATATATATATATATATATATATATATATATATATATATATATGTATGTATGTATATTCTTTTCCATTATGGTTTACCACAGAATATCGAATATAGTTCCCTGTGCTATACAGTAGGACATTGTTATTTATCCATCGTATATATAATAGTTTGCATCTGCTAATCCCAAACTCCCAACCCTTCCCTCCCTCCCCTCCCCTCCCCCTTGGCAACAACACGTTTGTTCTCTATGTCTGAGAGTCTGTTTCGTAGATAAGTTCATTTGTGTCATATTTTAGATTCCACATATAAGTGATATCATATGGAGTTTGTCTTTCTCTGTCTGACTTACTTCATTTAGTATGATAATCTCTAGGTCCATCCATGTTGCTGCAAATGACATTATTTTATTCTTTTTTATGGCTGAGTAGTGTTCCATTGTATATATGTACCACATCTTCTTTATCCATTTGGAAAGATGACCTATAAGTGTTCATTAACACATTCATTGGAAGGCAAACAAGGCTATAGGAAAATAGGAGATTGCAAGGTGGTGTTTGAGCAGAAGGCATTTCTGGGACTTCACCCTGGATGGGTGAAAGGGTACGTGCGGGAACAGAGGAGCAGTTAGCCGAGGGGAGCTGCCCCAATAAAAAGCCACGTTCCTGTGCTCAGTTCAGAATCCACTGGTGGAAGAGATGGCTAAGTCCCCAGGAGGAAGGAAAGAAACACTGTGCGATTCCCTCAGGACTGCCCAGAGGGACATCTGGCCATTGACTCGGGTCACTATACAATGCGGAGAAGGAGGTACCCAGACTTTCCTAGGGTTGTTGGGCCAGTCTCAGCTGACATGGATACCGGAGATCTGCAATGCCACCTGTGTGTGCCCCTCAGCCTTTCCTCACCTCAGAGTCCTGGCTTAAGGGTGCCTTACAGTTGGCCCCTTATGGCCACACATCCACCTGACGGTCATTTTCCTGGGCCATGAGTGTGTAACTGTCATCTCATAGTTTCATAAAAGAGAACGTACAATCAGGGACAAAGCATCCTTTACTACACTGCTAACGTGCAGTAATTTATATGTAAATATAAATTCTGGAATTTATGTACTCATTTCCACGATTACTAGGTCGTCTGGGCAGGCACAGTCTAATTACACCTTAATGTATTTCTTCTGAAACTGAACCAAACTAGTAAGATGCATGAGTGATAAACCACACATTATCCAGGCTGTACTTTATACGGAACTATAGAAACTTAAAGGACGAGTCATTCACATTGAAATCCATAGCTCGCATCTGAATTGTGATTTCATTTCCATTCTTTAGCTTGACAGTCCTTCAAAATTCATGATGCTCTTGATCTTCGGCCAGATTAAAAATAGGAATATGTATATCCCGTTTGCCACGTGTTCGTTTTATTTGTCTGAGCTTGTCCAATCACCTGGGCCAGGACAAAGGGGAAGACGGCTCAGCCTGCTTGCTGACTCTCGCTTGTCCTGAAGGTGAAACCGGCCAGAGCAGGGGATGGAGGCTGCAGTGGAGCCTGGATATGTGTGTCACGTGTCTTTGCCAGCAGGCTCCAACCCTGGGGGTCAGTCACTTAAAGGGAGGTGGGGGGAAGTAAATAGCGTGTGAAAAAGATAAGCCATGCATGTGTGTTTTCAAGGGTTCCAGTAGTTTTTTAAAATCACATCTGTAAGGAAGTAAAATCTTGTGAACCACTGAGGCTAGGATAAATTAAATTCCTCAGAGCCTTTTTTAAAAAATTGAAATATAGTTGATTTACAATGTTGTGTTAATTTCTGCTGTACAGCAAAGTGATTCAGTTATACATATATATACATTCTTTTTTAAAATATTCTTTTCCATTATGGTATATCATAGAATATTGAATACAGCTCCCTGTGCTATAGAGTAGGATCTTGTTTATCCATTCTATATATAATAGTTTGCATCTGTCTCAGAGCCTTTTAATTCCAAAGAGATCCTCCATCTGAGGAAGCAGCTCAGTGAGCTTCCATGATATAGCCATGTAATTGCATTGGACTAAAATCTACGTACTTGGCTTCAACTGCTAAGAAACCTATAACAAATAGACAATGGCTAGAGCCATGGTACCAAGTAAAATGCTAAGGACATTTACAGTGTTGGATGCTTCCTCTATCACGTTGTGCTATGAACTTAGTGTACGTGTTTCATGGTACAAACTCTCCAGGTGAGAGAGTCCATGGGGGTCAGTGGGGTGCGGCCATACCTCCACACTGACTTGAATGAACCGTGACTCTAGGGTCCCCACCCACCTCGCAGGTGCTCTGGTTGCGGTGAGTGAACACATCACATCCATGTTTAGAATGAACTTCAGGTTCCTGATTGGTGACTGCTCAGGCCCCGCTAGGCTGGGTTTGTACTTAATCCTGGGGTCACCCAGCCTTCATTTGGGCTATAGGCATAAACCACTCCTTGAGGACTACAGGTCCTTATTTATATCTGCATTAAAAGGTGACCCCCCCAAATGCATTCATAGTCCTATTTTTAATCTCATGACTAGGAACTTAATATGCTGATGAGATATAGTCCAGACTTAGGCAACAGCACAAAGTTCAACAGGAGAACTAAAGAGAATTCCTTTGGGAGTAACTCTGCCAGATTGTGCTATTGAGTCTCCAGTGGTGACAGTTCAATTTTTTTTGATTTATTATTTTCTTTAGATAAAGTTATGATTCTAGTTATCCCAAGCTATATAACCTCTAAAAAGGGAGCCAAAAATGGACATTCATGCCTGCCTAAGAATGAGCAATTATGAAGTTAATAACAGCAATGGTGACATTTACTGGGCACTTACGAGTGCCAGGTATTGTGCTCAACCATTTACAAGTATCACCTCATTTAATTTTCACAACAACCCTGGGAGGTAACTAGTTGTTTATCCCCTTAGAAGTGAAAGGCCAGGAATTGAACCCAGATTGGAGTGAGCCTAAGCTCAGATCCCCAATATTGTTTAAAATGGCCAGGAAAAGTGAGGTAAAAAGAGCCCTTGAGACAGCAGACAACCAGAACACTGTTACAGATGGAAATGATTAACCATGTGTGCTAAACAAAACCAATACTTTTATTCTTTTATTTTATTGGGGTAAAATATGCCTAACACGAAAACTACCATTTTAACCATTTTTAAGTGCACAGTTCAGTGGCATTAAGTACATTCACATTGCTGTGCCACCGTCATCATCATCACCTTCAGAACTTTCTTCACCTTCTCAAATGAAACCCTGCACCCATTAAACACTAACTCCCCCTCCCCCTCCCCCAGCCCCTGGCCACCACCATCCTACTTTCTGTCTCTATGAATTTGACTACTTTAGGTCCCTCATATATTACAGTAAATGGAATCATACAGTATTTGCTTTTTTTTTTTTTTTTTGGCCACACGGCTTGTGGGATCTTAGTTTCCTGACCAGGGATTGAACCCCGGCCCTCGGCAGTGAAAGCACCGAGTCCTAACCACTGGAGTGCCAGGGATTCCCAAGAATCATACAGTATTTGTTCTTTTGTGTCTGGCCTCTTTCACTTAGCATAATGTCTTCAAGATTCATTTGCATTGTAGCATGTGTTAGAATTTCCTTTTCAAAGCTGAGTAATATTCTGTTGTATGTGTATACCATATTTTGCTTATCCATGCTTCCAACTTTTTTGTTCTTAAGAAAAAACAAAAACGCTTTAGGAAAATAAATGAAACGTTCTAGTAGAAAATCTTAGAAAGGTAAGTGTGTGTGTGTGTGTGTGTGTGTGTGTGTGTGTGTGTGTGTGTGTATTTACCTGGCCATAAAAAAATGCCATGATCTTGAAGTGGTCAGATATATTTGAAGCACTTCCTAGCTCTCCCAGAGTTCATTATTTTCAGCTCCTACTCGTAACGCACGTCACGCATTGGATGATGCTTGCTTAAGTCCATTTAGACCATCAACCTCTTCAGTACCGAAATCAAGTATTGGTTTCCTTTGTGTCTGCCCGAGCCTGTGCGATAGAGCACTTTGTCCCAAACAAGACATCAAGTAACAGTTGGAATAAATGAATACAAAGAAACCAAGGCTCATTATTTTCAGAAAACCCTAGAAAACTCTCTTTTGTTTATGAAGTATCTCATTAAGAAGATAACATTTGGTTGTGGATTTAAATGTCCAACAACTTATATAAACGTATGGCTGATATTTCAAAGGGGATATCAAATTGTGGGATCTATCATACAACAATCATTTAGTAAAAGCTTACTATTTGCCAGGCACCATGCTGAACACTTTGTACTCATGAGCAATATTAAATAGCAGTTGGACTGTTGCCATTTTATAGATAAGGTCATGAGTTTAATTGCATGACAGGGCAAAAAGTGATGAAGCCTGGATTCCAGTCTGCTGATGAGCAAATCTGTGCTCTCCACCCAGTGTCTACTCCAGGTTTTGATAGGTTCAGAGACTAGAAGGGGTCAGATAAGGTCAGATGTGGATTTATTGCTCATAGGCATCCTTGGATTTCTTCTTGGTTGGTTTCCTTTAGGAATAACTGTATTTGTGGGAGAAAACACATTATTAACTGCAAAGAATCTGGTGCTTTACAGGTGCTCTGATCTTTGTAATCTAGAGAAAGAAAATGGAATAAGCAGGAGGAGAAGGTACATTCAATGAACAAGGATGGATTTAGGAAAGTGTACAATTTTTGAGACCAGAACTATTGACCCAAACAATCCAAGGATACTTATACACGCCCCTCCTGCAGTTGCTGGTGTGAAGAGCCTCACTTGGTGAGGCTACGGGAGATGGACACTCTCATAAGTTCCCGATGGAAGTGGGAACGGCTGCAACCCTTTGGATAAAATGTGTGCAATATATATCGAAATAGGAAATAGCCTTGATCTAGTGGTCCCATCACTGGGCATCTCCCTGCAGAAATAAAAGCATCCTATGATAAGGATGCGTGTATAAGGACGTTTATTGCAGTGCTGTTTGTTGTGATAAAAGTCTAGATCCATTTACACGTTCATCAATAAGGGAACAAATGGTACCATAGTAGGGTAATCTAATCTATGGATTCAGCTATTAAAAAACTGAGTTAGATCTTTGCCAATTGACCTGATATCCATAATATACTGTCAGGTGAATAAAGCAACTGCATATGGTTTTACATATTTTACAAGAATTCTTATGAAGAAACACAAAACCCAAATAGCTATGTTTTCGTAACTATGGATAAAGTTCAGGAGTGGTACACAACCCAGGCAGTTAGCATTGGTCACTCCAAGTGGAGTGAAAATTGGGAGGTATAGGAGGAAACTTTTTATTCATATGCCTTTGGGTTGTGTCACTTGTTACAATAATCACACATTGCTTTTACAGAATAACAGATTAATTGAGAAAACATTCTTCAAATGATTTTTCATAAACAAAGATTATTCCTCTTATAGTTTTAACTGCTTTACATAGTCACACAAAGAAAAAGTCCCGGGCTAAGTTTTTTTCTAACTCTTCTTCCAGCCTTGATTTTATCTGGTGAAGCTTCCACCTGCCTGCTCTTGGAATCTCTATTTCTCAGGGAAGTCTGACAAATAGGCTACAACAAGCACCCGCATCATACCACACTTCCATGAGCACTGCATCCCTATCATGCTTCCCGACCTCCTGCATGTTTCAGGTGGTTGTCACTCTCTACCAATCTATATGTTTTAGAAAGAGCCCACGGTGTGCAGTGACTGTGTTTCGTTCCCGTTGTAGCCCCAGCGTCCCCGTTTTACTCCGTGGGGTGGATGGCTCCCCGTCCTCACCTTACAGGACCGCTGAGCAGATTGCTACACCACTGACCTCCTTCTTGGTCCGCTCCTGGCTTCCCTGACGCCTCCTCCTCCGCAGCCCTCTATTATCACAGGCAGGAAGCAACGCAACAGGGGGAATTAGGTGCTTACACGGTCTGGGGAGGGGAGGAGGGACGGGCTTTCCAGGAATGACTCCCAGGGCCAGACCGAGCCGCTCCACAGGGCAGCTGCTCCCTCCCATGCTGCACGCCCTACCTCTGACCCAGGGATCTGGAAGCTGCACTCAAGCAGGAGCCGCTGCTCCTGCTGACCCTGAAACAACTTACCGCCTCTGGATACAGGAAGTTAGTGACTGGGTGCTGGAACGCTGCTGCAGAAAGCTTCCAGGCTGCCTCGGCAGAAAACAGACAGGGGAAGAAAGCCGGCCTCCGTCTCACTTTTAAATGTCCCAGGAGTGTAACTCACTGGTGGAACTTATTCCAAGAACAGAATCCTACTTGCAAAGGAGCTATTTCACATTTGTCTCTCTTGCTTGGATGTAAGCCTGTAAGGGCAGAGACCATGTTTACTGGCTCACCACTGAATCATCCATCACATGCCAGGCACAGCAATCATTTAACATTTAACAATGATAAGGTAACAGTGCTGGAACGAGGCACTATTCTAAGCTCTTTGTGTGTATTAACTCATTTAATTCTCACAACAAACCTCGGTTGTAGGTTTCGTTATCCTTCCAAATTTACAAATGTACAACAGGCACAGAGAGATGAAGTAAGTTGCTATGACCACATAGCAGAAAATGGTGCTTGAACCCAGCCTGTACTCTGTATCCTTCTGCCTGAATGTCTGCTGAAGGTACACTCATTTAAATGTTTACTGAGTTGAATTACGCAGAGGATTGATCATAAACAAATTCATAATTATAGACCACCTCTAGAGTAAAGGTTAACATATTTAACTATGGAGAAGAAGGTAGTTGTACTTTGTTACCATTTGTACTGGAGATTGGTGGTTTTTTTTAATTATTATTATTATTGCCAAACGCATAAGAGATAATCTGTGCAAAGGTGAAAATTATTCATGATTCAAGTAGGCTGAAGTAATATTCAAGGACTTCATACCTCTTAGACTCATGAAAACTTGGGAGTTAGAGAGTATATGCTTGAGTATATTTTTTGCTAATAACTTATTAAGGGATCTTTACGTAGCCACATTAATCAATGTAAAAAGAGCAATGAACATTGGGCCCCTGTTTCTCCATTCCAAACAATAGATGTCAATTACATTTAAAATTGTTGCCTTAATGACTTTTGGGTGTCATTTTTCGTGGCTTTGGGAAGAGCAAAAATGCAGAGTAGAAAATTGTGCGACTTCCCTCCCCCACCTTCCTCCCCCCTCTATTTACTGACATAAGACGCTCTCACCTGTGTTTTCATTTCCATATTTAACAACAAAAGTAACACTTGTTAACTGTTATAAGGTTGTCCTGAGTAGCTGTGTTGTTTGTAAAGTTCTTGGAACTGTTAGAAAGGTATTAATACCAAAGCACAAACCACTTAAATAGTGCACTATTGAATGAGGGTATGCTGTGCTCTAAAATAGTAATAGGCGAATTATTCCAAGCTCCCATCCTCCGAGGTCTTCCATTGCTCTCCTTTGGCACAGTCTGGTACGAATGCTAGGTTGGCTGTTCTGGAGAGCTATTCCCAGCTGGGGTCCGATGGCTGGACTGCTGTGAGAACGTAGACTTTGTGCCCGCGCCTAGGCCATGGTTCCATTTGTCTCATTTGTTTTCTAGACCCACTGGGCTGCTCCTTCATGGCAGCAGCATCAATTTGTCCTTTGTTTCGTGGTGCTTCCTAGGGATTTGAATTTGAGCAGCACTGTAACGGTTTATTTACGGCACATTCATTTTTTTCACGTTCTTGTCCCCTATTACCCTGGCAATCCGTTAAAGATTGGTCAGCAACTTTGCTGTTGGGATTTTTCTCCTTCGACTCAGTTTACTACAGGCTACCGTAAATGCTGCAGCTGGAATTCGTTGCCAACATGTGAACGTGACACTGTTTTGGTTTGGGCTTATCACTATCAGTCAAAACTGAAGAACAGATACGGCAACAAACGTTGTAGATTTTGACTTTTATTTCCAGTTTGATAACGTGTGCCTCGTCAGATCCCCAACTACGCGTCTGCTTCTTAAAGGAGGCGTGTTTCCTCTTCGGCTTTTGCATTACTGGAGACAATTCAGGAAGGAGGAGAGCTTGGACTGGAGAGCCATAGAATTTAGTTCTGCCGACGGAGGGATGGGTAGAATTAGGGAGCACGCTGACAGATCCACGCATGTTTTCCACAAGACATCTTCTGTATTTCTAATCAGGTGAACCTCGGGTCAGTCTCCAGAAGCTGTTTTTCTTTTTTAGCGCAAACGAGACACCCGCTGGGAACCAAAATGAGTGTTGGCGCGCCCCACCTCAGTCGACCCTTCTCCTTCCCGCCCGCTCACAGCCGGTACTACAACTCCCAGCAAGCACCGCGCAGCACCACAGGGGACCAGCTCCGGCGGAGGCCCCGCCCCACGCGGAGCATGCTGGGAGTTGTAGTCAACAAAGCCTGACCGCTCCTCCTGCTATTAGGCATTCCCGCTTGGGAGATGGTAATTCGCTGCCGTAGCGGGTTCTCCAGTCTCGCAACCCTAACTACGGCTAAACGGGACCGAGGATTGCGCCTTTTCGCCCGCCGTGCGCGCCGCATCCGTGCCCCAGAGCTGAGCTCCGCCCCGTCGACACCCGCTCCCTTGACAGCTAGGCTGGGCTCGGAGCGCGGCGGGCCGGGGGTGCGCAGGCGCAGCAGCCGGCCGCGCGGGGCGGTAAGGAGGGCGGGCCGGGCGCGAGGCCTCGCAGCAGCCGGGGCGCGCACGTAGGCACGCAGAGGCGTCACGTGGGGCGCCGAGGATCGCAGTGCGCGTGGCCGCGGCGGCTGGTGTGGGGTTGAGTCAGTTGTGAGACCCGGAGCTGCGGACGGGCGGGCGGCCCAGCGAGCCGGCGACAGAGCGGCGGGCGTGGGGTTCGGGAGCCGAGCGCTGGCCCCGCGTCAAGTCGGGCCGAGCCGCGCCGCAGCCGCCGCCGCCGCCGCCGCCCCCCGCCCGCAGCCAGCGACCCGCCGCGGGCGCGCCCCCGCTCTGCGCTGTCTCCGATGGCGTCCGCCTCCGGGGCCATGGCGAAGCATGAGCAGATCCTGGTCCTCGACCCGCCCACAGACCTCAAGTTTAAAGGTGGGCAGGGGCGGCCGGCGGGAGGGGCGGACGGGCGGGCGGGAGGTGGCGGCCGCGCCCGGTGGGCCCCCTCCCCCGCCGCCCGCGCTCGGCCCCGCCCGCGGGGGTGCGCGCTCCCTTGCCTCCTCCCGCCCGGCGCGCCCGCCGCCATGTTGCGGCGCGCGGCCGCCTCGCTGCGGCGGCGGCCTCGTCCTTGGCCAGCGGGCCGGGGCGGGGTCCGGACGTGGGCGGCGGGGCGGGTGGGGGTGTGTGTGGGGGGTGGGGCGGGCGGCCGGGCGCGGGCCGGGCTCTGCGTCAGCGGGGACAGGCGGCCGGACGTCCTCCGCGCTGGGCGACACCTGCGCCGGGGCGACACCTGCACGTGGACTCCGGGGGCTGCTGGGCCCGAGGGAGCGCCTCGGGCGGGTTTCTCCTGGGGATGCTGAGGGCGTGCGGGAAGCCTGCGGGGAAGCGGGGTCCGTCCCAGCTCCCGTCACGGGGAGACCGAATCCGATTGCTTGTGCAGGAGTCCGTATCTTGTCCTTAATTCAGGGACTGTGCCGAGCACGGAGCCTGTGAGATGCGTGGCCGCTCTAGTGCTTAAATCAAATCCTTCGTTGTAGTCCAAGGTTGAGTCCGAAAGGAAAACAGATTGTTTCCATAGGAAACGCTTTAAATAAGTTTAGGAGTTTTAAAATGTTGTATTCCGACGTTATGAGAGGAGTTTTGTATAAAGCTTTCATTTTGGGAGCTCTAGTGCGTTTCCGAATTTCTTTGAATGGAAATGTCAGTGAGCTGCTTGTTAGGTAAAGATTTGGTTTTAAGACAACTCCATGAAATATTAATATTTTGAGAGGCGCTAAGTGCATTTTATTGTAGCAAGTTTATGTGCGCGGCATGATTTTACAGTTTTAGGTGAAAGGAAAAAAAAACTTTTGGGGAATCATGAATATAATGATTTAGATAATACCTAACTCAAATAGCTATTATCTTAGGGTGGAGGAATTTAATGTAAACCTTTATGGTGTGTGGTTCTTCCGAGAATTTTAGTATTTTGCTTTTATTTTTTGGGAGGCTGAGTTTACAGAGGAAGTTTCCTCTTCTGGTTAACCTATTGATGTTGCCATAAGGGACTTGGATGCCGTTAAAACTAGTTTTAGGTTAGGAAATGTTCGCAGAGTTTGATGCTTTCTGCTTAGAGAAGTTGTAATGTTTCCATAGTAAGACACTAGTAATAGCGAAGAGGCAAGTTAAAAAAACAACCAAAAACCCTACACAGTGACTTGCCAAATAGTTAACTCATTTCAGGTATTGAAGATTTACTAGCTATGATGTTAGAACAGGTTCTTGTGTTATGGATGAAAGTAGTTCACAGGGCCTATTAAAGTTTGGACACAAGTTGACTTAAAAAAAAAGAGTTTCACTGGAAATTTTATAGGGGCGCACATTCACTTGGGCCATTTACTTAGCAAACACTAGTGAAAGCTTTGTGCTGAGGCTTCCTTGGTGGTCCAGTGGTTAAAACTTCACCTTCTAGCGCTGGTGGGGGAGCTAGGTTTCCACATGCCTCACCGCCAAAAAACCAAAAACATAAAACAGAAGCAATATTGTAAGAAATTCAATAAAGACTTAAAAAAACTTAAAAAAAAGATTTGTGTCATCTCTATATTTGATTAAGAGTATTCAACAATGAGTAATTTATTCAGCAGGTATCAGCTTACATTTGGGGATTCAGTGCTAAGCAAGGTGGAGGAAAGGTCCACAGTTAGTTTGGTTTAATGGGGTAAGCATACAATCAATAACAGTAAAATGTGCTAGGTTTTATCTCAGCCCTTGAAGAACTCCTAGACGGAAAAGACATATAGATGCTGTAACAGAGGCAAAACAAGTATGAGGAAAGAAGCCCCTTCTTCCTTCCTCCCCGCTTGCTTTAGGAAGCAGCTTGCTTTCAAATGGGGAAGGGGGAGGGCTGGTCAAGGGAATGGTTTGCTCCTTTACTGATGTGAGAGAAGGTTGGCTTGTACTTAAATACCCAGTGGGTTGCTGTGTGCTTCGGTTTAAAAGTGGGGTAATGGGGAGGATTGGGAAAGAGGAGGGGTAGGATGAATTGGGAAGTGACATTTGGTGTCATTTGAACTTCTTAATAAAAGTTATTCTTTTAGTCAAAGGTAAATAGATTGCTCTGATGGAAAGCTGTCTGTATTCCGAAGAGCAGGTCAACACTAAGTGAGGAGACTCAGTTAGAATCAACAATCTCTTTATGCTTCATTTGATGGTGGTATAAAAAGTCATTTAACTCTACCGTGAATTACCCGTAATTTTCAGTTTAAGTAAAAGTCTATTAAAGGATAGTTTTGCCAAATGTCACCTGCTGGTAGGTTTATTTGAATTAGTTTGACTTTACATTTGATTGAGATGGTTTCTCCAGGAGTGAGTCATTGAATCATTCTGAGGTTGGGTGGTGAATTTTTCTGTTATATGCATAACAGAGTCATCTTGATATGAATTATCATCACTGCACAATTGTGGAGAAGCAGAGAGCAGTTTAATAGACTTTCCACATACCTCTATTTTATTGAAGTTTATTGTTTTATACAATTGTTTATATGAAAAGACTTTTATAATGATGTCATGAATTCTAAAGTAGTTCTTTTGTTGCATTAGTAACAAAAAAGAGGTAGATATTTTCAAATTCTGTTTTTTAAGCCCTGGCAGTAATTTGACCTAGAATTCAGATTTGAAATTTGGTATTACATGTGAGAGACTTTTTTGGGGGGGTCCTTAAAAATGTTTATTTACTATTATAAAATTTCTTCCTTTGTATTATACAACATTTTTATTTTTCCAACCTGTTAGTAATTCTAGAGGAGAGTTTGGAGAAGAAAGTTTAGAAAATGCTAAAATAAATTGTGAATGTATTCTTCCTCTTAATGATCAGAGAAAGAGGAAAATAGACTAAAACCACTGTATTGAAGGTGGCCCATAACAGTAACATCAGTAAAGAAAACTAAGCTCTCTGAGTGACGAGGGACCTGCAGTGTGTCAGCAAAGCATCTTTGAACAGCAGCACATCACGATGAAGAGGCCTGACTGAGGATGGGGAATACTCCTCTTCTTGCTGGGTATTTGGCACATTTTTACGTATTTCAGATCACTCCTGTTTCACAGTGGCTACATCAAATCCCTGGGGTGATTCCGGCCCCCTCTCGCCCCCCCCCCCCAAATAGGACATGGTTGTCTTATTACTCCATTCCTTAATAGTTTTCAACGAGCTCTCCATTGCCCACCAGATAAAAGCCTAACTCTTAGTGTGACATACAAGCCCTTCCGTGATGTGCTGTCTCCTCTTGTTACACCTGTTCGTCGGCACACGTCCACACTTTCGTCTCTGAGAAAGAAAAACCCTTCTCATATTTAAGCTTATTTGTTCTGCTATTTTTGCTGGTTAAGGTAAAAGTCTTTCATGACTCAGACCATGCTCCATCAGATATTTTCTTGGTCATATTTTCAACCACTGGCTTCTTCCTTTAAACATAAAAATGCACTTCAGTCTTTCATTTTAAAAACAAATAAGCCAACAAAATACTTCCTTGACTCCCAGCTCCTTGTGGTACTTGTCCCTCCTGTGCTTCATTTCCTTTGCAGTCAGACTTCTTGGAAAAGTAGTTCATGTTCCCAGTCTCCCTGTTCCTCTCCTCCTGTCCACTGTCCTCACAGCTTCCTGATTGCTACTGCAGTGACCACTGCCACTTTCTCTCTCCCTTGACCTCTCTTTGGCACTTGCCATTATTGACAGTTCGTCTTTTTAAAAACTCGATTCATTTGACTTCTGTGATACAGTTGTCTTCTAGTTTTCTTCTTTGCTCTTTACTGTCTCATTTGTGACCTTTTTCTTAAATGCTCATGTTTCTGAGATTCTGACTTGGTTTCAACTGTATCTCACTCTGAACTTCCCTTGTTCAGGCTTCCTTGTTTCAAGGTCCTCTCTTTCCCCTGCTTACTCACTTTTTGCACACATTGGTACACTCCCAAATCTGTGTTGAATTCAGACTTAAAATCACCTTTGGAATACATACTAATTACTTATTGACATCTGGATTTGAATGTTGCTCAGACATCTCAAACTCCGCAGATCCCAAACTGGTTTTTTATATTGATGTTAAGTGGGAGAACGGTACGGGTGTGGAGGTAGTGGAGTGATGTCATATTTGTAGTTAAGGAAACACACTTGTGGTAGCAACATGGAGTAATATGGGAGGGAGAGATGAATTAGGCGGCTGCTGCTGTCCACGCAAGAGGTGACCGCTTGTGGGGTGGTGTTGGAGATGCAAAAAGTTAAAGACCGTAAAGCTGGTGAGACCCGGCGGTCTCTTAGGTGTGTGCACTGGGAGAGTGTGTCTTGAAGGCTCTGATTTCTGGCTTACACACCTGGAGAGAGGGGACAACAAGCACTGGCTGTCTTGTGAGAACGCGTGCGTTTTACCCAG